AATTCGAGCTCGGTACCTCAAACTTTTTCTCAAGAACAAAAATATTTTTTATTTCTGAATTTTTTCACGATTTTCCAGATTTCTTCGTAAATTGAAAAAAAGGTTTTTTTTTTGAGAAAAAGTTTGAAATATTAAATTTCATTAAATTTTAAGTATAACACAAAAATAATCAAGTTCTGGAACCTCCTAGGAGCGGAGAAAATCGTCTTTGAAAATGCTGATTTTGCACTGAGAAGGCAATTTTTGGTACTGAAACTGATATAACTCGGCTGAAACTGGCGAGCGGATTCTAATATTTTTAGGGGTGTCTAGATAGGTGATTTTTAACATATCCTGAAATTTTCATCAAAATCTGAGTTTGTGAGGTGTTGAGGTTCCCTTGTTAATTGTTAATCAATTCTCTGTTGTCCTTTCTATTCCACTTCCTTCAAGATTGAACAAAAATGAAAACCAAATTTTTTATTGTATCTAGAAATCCATATCATAAAGTGGTTCAGATGATAATAGTTTTTGCGAATACATTTTTGAAAAAAAAATAAAATTTTTTATATTCCACAGATACCCAATAAAAGTTTAAAAATATTTGGAAAATATAAAAGTATCGAAACAGACATTCGTATGTATATTCTCATAATTTAGAGTGGAAAATTTCCCCATATTTCAATTATTAAATATGTTCGCATCAGTGTCGCCTAATAAAAATTCTTATTAAGTTCCCCGATTTTCATGATACTTCCGAATCCGTAAACTTTAAAGCATTTCCTAAATATTTACAGTTTCTGATTTTCCATTTACAAAAGTTCCTATCAATGTCTTACGTCCATGGTAAATTCATAAATCTCTTCATTTTTCAAATTCTTCAAATTCTCCTTGCCGACATCTCCTTCAATACCTCTTCCAACCCATTCCAAATTTTATAAAATATTAAAGGAGAACTCCGACCAAAAATTTTTATTGCATTAAAATGTTCAAAAAGTTGTCTATTTTCCCAATATTATAGCGAATAAATTTGAAAAAAATCTGAAACCCCCGAAAAATTTTCAAAAAAAAAGTTGCTAGGAGGGACGAGGATTTGAATTCCCGCGCAGTGAAAACCTAGGCCACGGAGCCTGGTAGCCGTTTTTTTTCAGCCGACAGTGGTTTTTTAAGTTTTTTACCTGCCGGACATAAAACCGAAAAAAATGCGGAAAAATTTCCATGTAAGAAAGGCGCTATGATGCCGTGACCTAGGTTTCTCACTGCGCGGGAATTCAAATCCTATTTTTTTTCAACGCCGTTTTTCGGGGATTTAGGATTTTCTATGAATTTTTTCGCAATAATATTATGAAAATACATATTTTTTGAAACATTTTAAGGCAATAAAAATTTTTGGTCGGAGTCCCCCTTTGAATAATTTACTTCGAACACCATCCGATTTGTCGACTGAGAGTAACTCTGAATTTGAAACATTCTCATCAACCCCAATATTTAAATGAGATGTGAATATTAATGATAATTCCAGTGAAAAGATTCAACTTCCTCGATTTGCAAAATAAGAGAAAACCCCTCAAAAAATTTAAATGGGCTTACTGCAACTGTTCATTTCATCATAAAATCTGGTGCATTTTTCGTGTACCCTAAAATGAATGTTTCCGTTAATAGTTCCCTAGATTTATGAAAGTTCCGAAACAGAACATTTTACTGTTTCAAGTGAAGTTTAATAAACTGTTGCAATGTTGTTTAATGTTAGCATTCATGCAAACCAACTCCGAAAATTAGGATTTTAAGAAAAGTTATTTTTCTGGAAACTATGTTAAAATAAATAAAATTGGGTTTCAAGGCACATAGATTCCTCGACTCAGGAAGCTAAGTACCGAAAAAAAACCGGAAACAACTTTCTGAACTTCAATCTAAAACGAAACTAAAAATTGGAAACGTTTTGGATAGGTTGGACAATAATTTGCACAAATTTGAAATTATCAAATTGAAAAATTTATTCAAAAATTACAGTTTCTGGTTCTCTATTTCCAGAAGTTGATGTCAAAGTTTTCACTTCATGATCACTTTCTCTTCTTGATTATTTCCTTCAATGCCTTTTCAAATTCTCTTGAAAATCAAAATATTTGATTTTCGATTCCTTAGAAAAAAAAACAACTTTTGAAACATTTTAAGACTTTTTGGCCTCATAACACAAATGGTTTGAAATTTCAGAAGTTTTCCGTTTCAATGATGTTGTAATGGTTTATTGTTCAACTATTTTGCAGTCATACTGCTCTAAAACAGCCCTAGAGACACAACAAATCTTAAAAAAGAGAAAAGACAACAAGAACACAGAATTTAAGAACACCGAATTTATTGACCTAACTTTGCCTACAACGGAAACGATTCTGTTGCCAGAATCATCTCTGCCGACAAGAATACACCAGAATAATATTATATAAAATATATGTGAAATAGGAACGAGAAACATGGGTTTTGGGGGAGAAACGAGAAAAGACTGAAGAGTTTAAATTGATCCCAAAAGCGGGCGCATTTCCTTGGTTCGCGTTGAGAGTTAGATGTGCAGGGTACAGTAATCCTCAAATTGGCGGGTGATTCAAATCGGCATTGTTGTGGGCGGCGTCGGCGTTGGTGAATATAATTACAGGGAATAAAAGAAGAATTCATTGAAAAGGAGAAAAAGTCGTGAAGAGGTGATATTCGGTCACCTGAATTCGCGACATCAACTTTATATTATTTTTCTTATCGAGCTTTGAAAATTGTGCATTATCGTTCAGTGTATTATTCAAGAAAACTGACTTTGAAAATATGGATTTCAAGAAACGGGTAACTTCTTGTTACCATAATATACTGTCAAACCCAATATTCTTTCGAAATTTAACATAGTGATGTTTAATAATTCCAAAAAATGAAAGGAAACTGTTTTCAAAATGTATGCAACTGGAAAATATGTTTTTTTTCAAAAGTTTCAGTTTCAAAAATGTTGTAATGACCTTTTTTACATTTTTGTTCTGTTAATCGGTTTTGTTTAATCGCATTATGATTTCAATGAATTTATCAGAAAAGATTTCTATTTCCTTTTTTGAATTTCACAGTTCCAAGAGAAACACATTTGGGCTTAGATGTAGATAGTGAGTGAGTGAAGCATCGATATATTGGCACTGTATGATTTGGAAAGTTATTTGAGAGTTAAGAAAGTTTTGTCCAATTGATTTTATTCAACTAACAAGGGAAGTCGTTTTAGAAAGGGGTTGAGAATTTGCTCATTTTTTGACAGCGGTTAGTTTACGTCCTTGTAAACCTCCTGTCAAAATATGTATATGCACTTTTTTCCACAAACGCTGAAAATTTTAGTCTCAAAAGTTTCCAAGTTCTTAACCATTGCAAGCTCCTCTTTCCTCTGTGATACCGCCCCCTGGCAACCACTCGTGAATACCGTTCACATAAACCCCCGCGCACACTCTCGTTTTCAGTGGTGAGGTGGCCGAGTAGTAGTGGCGAGGGTTTGTAAGCTGAAGGTCTCCAGTTCGATTCCATCGTTTTGAAATTGTTTTTTGCTGTTTTTATTGAATTCGTAGGAACCTGAACGTAGGAATGTGAACGGTGTTCACGAGAGGTTGCCAGGGGGCGGTATCACAGAGGAAAGAGGAGCTTGCAGTGGTTAAGAATTTGGAAACTTTCAGACTAAAATTTTCAGCATTTTTGGAAAAAAGTGCATATACAGATTTTGACAGGAGGTTTACAAGGACGTAAACTAACCGCTTTCAAAAAATGAGCAAATTCTCAACCCCTTTCTAAAACTACTTCCCTTGTAAGTTGTCACATTTTTCAAACACTCTCTGTATATTTCTCATCGTATCGTTTAATATAATATTCGAGTAAAACAACTCCAAAAACATGGATTTCAAGAAACAGTATTTCTTCTGATAACTGTCTTCTACATTGATTCAAACCAGCATAAAATGTTGTTAAGCTCAATATTCATTCGAAATGTAAAAAAGTGATGTTTGATGATTAAAAAAAACGGAATTAATTGACTCGATTAGCCAAACTGGGGTAAATCGAGGAATAGGATGGTGGTGTCTCTTCGGATGGAGCACTCGGGTGATTGGAGGTTGATGATGTAGCAGTGTTGAGATTGACATGATGGTGTGCAGTTGAAGGAGGAGATGGATGGGGCTGAAAAACGTGTTGTTAAGGATTTGCCAATTCCAATCGAGCTACGCAGTCGGCCGACCGTCGGTGGCACGTAAGGAACAGACAGCACATAACTAGGTTAAAACTTTGAATTTCTGTTTCAGTTAGTGAAAAGTGGACCTTGTCAAGATCTACAATTCACCAGTTGGTTCAAAGAAATTTCAAAATTGAACCAATTTATGAACAACCTGCTGACCAACCTCAAACCCGGTAACATGCGCCGAGTATCCATGATTATGGTACACATTATTGGGGTACAATTGAATTGGAAATGTCAATTGAGAAGAGATTCCACTGCCAGTTGCTCCGGAAGGTCCAGAAGTTGCTATAATTGTAGACTGGCGTCTGAAATTGCACTGACTAGCTCCAGCTGGTGGTTGATGATGAGTCACTGGTGTGTGACTTATGAGCATTGTTGATCGAGTTAGATACACTGGCTCACCAGACACTCCATTTCCCATCTTTTTGGTCTGGAATTATTTTCATATAAATGTAAAGTTGGCAGGGGAGTGATTCTAGGTTCTAGAGTTAATTGCAAATGTGTCAATCGAACGATTAAATTTGAAATATTACAGATAATGTTTAAAACTCATGAAACAGAGCAATGTTTTTTTTTTCAAAAATCAAAAATCATCGGTATCACAGAGGAAAGAGGAGCTTGCAATGGTTAAGAATTTGGAAACTTTCAGACTAAAATTTTTTTTTTTTTGAATATTTTTGGAATTTAAGCAGAAGAATCATGTCAGAATAAGAGAATAAGATTATGAGAAAGTAAAATATGCTTAGAAACAGCATCAAAAATACAGTTCAATTGATGAAAACTTTTTGGTAGTTGGGTAACATGGTACACCGACCAGAATCGACCAATATTCAACTGCTAATAACTTTTTCCTAAACAAATCTGAAAATCTTAATTTTTTAGGAAATTTTAAGAGCTACAACGATACTTAAAATTGTTCAATTCTTTTTTTAATAAAAAAATATCTAAACTCAAAAAGTATCACATTTGCAACGAATTCGTAACAGCTAAAAAATCATGAAAACCTCAAAAGTTTGGGTTTATAATGAAAGAAGTTATGCGCCTTTAAAGTTATAGTTTTTCGTTTTAAAAAATACATTTTTTTTTCGGAAAACTCAGTTCCGAAAAGTCGCTAAAAATAGGATAGGTAATTCTTCACAATTAGGCCGTTCAGAAATCAATGTTTTTTTTCGATTTTCAAAAAATAATTTGAAAAATGCTTCCAATGGTTAAACTCTCAGGAGCCTTCTATGAATCAGTTGACATGTGACGTCAAGATTTATTTGACTAGAACCTCTTTTTAAATATTTGTTTCGTTCAAAAAAACTTTCTAATGCCGCGTTTAAAGTTG